TTGAGCCTTTTGCATATTTGCGCGGGCTTGAGTCAGCAATTCCCTGTACTTACGGACGAAAGAGGGAGAGCAGGCAGCGTCAATGTCGGCTGGTCGAGGGAGGAGAAGGTCGGCGAAGATCCGGCCTTTCCGTCCACCGTGGTGCAACTCGAATGGAGTCACGCTGATCGCCGGATGCACCGAAGTGTTGTAGGCGAACTCGATGTCGGGGAGGTGGTCAACCCAATCTTTCTGGTCCGGACGGATAAGCGTACGAAGCATCATTTGAGCGGTCTGATGTGCCCGCTCCGTCTGCCCGTCTGTCTGAGGGTGTCGAGCCGAACTTGGTTTCATTGTTGTGCCGGACTCCTGCATGAGAGCAGTCCAAAACGCCGACATGAAACGAGTGTCGCGGTCGCTGACAATGTCTTCTGGTACACCGTGGCCACAAATCCAACCAGTGTGCAGGAGGCGTGCAAGGGAGAAAACGCGCGTACTTACTCAATCGGTCCACAACCGTGAGGATGCCGTCGTGCCCGAGCCGGTCGCGAGGAAACGGACCGGTGACGTCCATGGCAATGGAGAGACCGGGTTCCCGTGGGATAGGCATCGGGTGTAACTCGCCGTAGGGATTGCGGTTGCGGGGCTTGCTGTGTCGGCAAACTTCGCAAGAGTCGCAATACCTCGTGACATCGGTGATGAGGTCGGGCCATCGAAATCGCTGTCGAAGCCGTGCAATAGTGCGGTTGACTCCGAAATGGCCGGCGAGTCGTGAATCATGGTACTCGCCGAGGAGGCGAGTCCGAAGACGACGGTCACGTGGGACACATAGTAAGTCCTTGCCTCTCGAGTGGAGGAGCAAGTACCCGTCGGCAATGCGGTAATGGCTGGCCGGCGGGTGATCCGAAGATAGCTGTGCATAGAGCGTGCCGAAGTCCGGATCAGACTGATATGCCCGGATGAAGTGTCGCTGAAGCTCCTCGTCGAATGCGAAGGCATGATGTGTCATAGCGCAAAGATCTGGTCTTCGCGAGAGTGCATCTGCTGCGCGATTGGAGAGGCCGGGGACATGTTTCGATGTGAAGTCAAATTGGTCGATGAAGTACATCCATCGTCTGATTGTGCTGCTCACCGTGTCCTGCGTCTTGTAGTAGGTCAATGGACTATTGTCTGTGACCCATGTGAACCTACGACGCCCAAGGAGGAAGTGCCGCCAGCGCTTGAGAGCCATCACGAATGCGAGCAGCTCCTTCTTCCTTGCATCATCAAGCGAGTTGATGGGAGGCACTTTGTGGCTGAAATACTCTACAGGGTGCCAGTCGTCGCCGTCGTGCTATTCCAAGTCTGCCCCAATGCCATAGCCGGAAGCGTTCGTAGTCACTCTCGTCGGCAAGGTGGGGTCATAGATGCTGAGGACGGGTGGCATGAGCATGGCCATCTTAAGTGCTTGGAATGACCGGCGTGCGTCGTCATCGAATACAAATGGCACCTTTGGCGACTGTAACCTCGTCATAGGTGCAGCAATCCTGGAGTATCCGGTGATGAATCGCTGATAGTAGCCCGCCAACCCCATGAATGAATGAACGTCCGTGGTGTTGGTGGGCTCGGGCCATACTCGTAGGGCCTCGATCTTGTCCGCAAGCGGACGGATGCCTTGCGGCGTCACAGTGTGCCAAGTACTCCAGCTCCTGCTGTGCGAACTCGCACTTGTCGCGGTTTGCTTTGTACTTGGCCTGTCGTAGCCGCTCCAAAACGGTGCGCAGGTGTTCCACATGCTCGTCCAGACTCTGACTGTAAACCAGAATGTCGTCGAGGTAGATGAGTACGAAACGATCCAGCATGTGTCGGAACTCCGTCGTCATAGCCGCTTGGAAAGTAGCTGGGGCATTCGTAAGGCCAAATGGCATGACAAGTCATTCGAAATGCCCATACCGTGTCTTGAACGCGGTCTTGTAGCGATCCTCCTTGCGAATCTCGAGTTGGTGGTACCCTGACTTGAGATCCAGCTTAGAGAAGAACTGGGCGCCGCCCAATCGCTCGAGAAGGTCGTCGATGCGTGGGAGAGGGCCGGCGTTCCTGATCGTCTGCGCGTTGAACTTACGATAATCGATGCACAACCGCAGGTCCTTGTTCTTCTTCCGGTCGAAAAGAACAGGAGCACCGTATGGCGATGAGCTAGGCCGAATCCAGCCTTTCTCTAGAAGGTCGTCGAGTTGTGCCCGAAGCACACTTAACTCTTCCTCGCTCATTCAGTAGATGCAACCGCGCGGAGGTACGGCCGCGTCCTCGAGGATGATCTCGTGGCGGATGGGTCAATCCGGTACTACTCCGTGCGGGCCTTCGAACACGTCGTTGTAGGCGTCGAGATGTTCGGTGATGCGTGGATCCGAAGGTGAGTCCGTCGATGAAGCGTCATGTGGCGGGAGGGCATGGAGAAAACACACCCCAGTCTCCTCGATGTCGTCTCTGATGATGGAAGCTCACATGCTTGCGTCGGATACCACGTGGCAGCTGATCGAAGGATGAGGAAGAGGCACCGTGCATGAAACTAATACTCCGTTCCGGTCACGAACGTGAACGGTGAGGTTGAAGAAGTTCACCGGGTGATCCTTGCTTCGCAGCCATGACATGCCCAAGATCATGTCGAATTTGGTGTCCAGAATGTCAAAGGACACCGCCTCACTTGCGTGAGGGGCAAAGTACACTGGGACGACGTCAATGCACCGGTCAATGGACTTGTGCGTATGACCGTCTGCCAGCGTCACTTGCGTAGGCTGGGACTTCCTCCGGACACGTGGGCCAAGGCCGGCGCGTACCATGAAGTCCTGGTTGATGTAGTTGCGAGATGCTCCGCAATCGATAAAGGCACTGAAGGTCGCCTCTCCGATCTGAATGCGTACGTATAGCAATGGTGCGTCGATGTCGTCGTACCGTTGCGTCTTGAACTTGCGATCGATCTTCACGATGTACGCGAGAAGGTCGACAACCTCTGCTCCGGCGTCCATCAACGGAGCTGGTACTGCAGTGTGCAAGTAGTCCCGCAATTGTGCCATAAGCATGTTGCAATGCGGTTTCGACAATCGTCCGGTCGAGGGAACGGGCATCCACTGGAAGTCCGTGAACGTCAATGGGTCGAGCTCTTCAAGTCTTGACCATGACGT